AATGAATAAATTAAATGAGAAATTAATTTATGATATGAAACGATATTATGATAAAAAACATATGTCTCGCAGACATCGTATACTTCAACACATCGTTTAATAAACAGGTATTCAATTCATATGCAGTCAAATGAATGCTATATTTAATTAACGCTAGTATTAAGTGATTGTGTATTAATCCCACGAAAAGGATTGTTTTAACTGTCATTAAAGTGATAATTATTGACATAGATTTTATAGTTTTAATTGTATGGTTTGCTATACATCTAGGTTAACGACTAGTTAAAAACAAACTTGGTCAGTTTGTGTGCCGGAAAGTGATGTTCAAAAGCGAGCGTATAACTAAGGAGTCTAGCTTTGATCGGGATCATTTTATTGGCCAATCCTATTGCAGGTAAATGACAATTATTATTATACAAATAAATTATTTAATACATGCTCTCAAACGTGAATTTAATAGAAAATATGCTGTTTTTTATTTTGTATTACATTTTTACTTTTTATTAGCCTTGGCTTTCAATTTATTTATTTTTAAAGTAAAACTAGTTTTTGTCGCTAATTATACCATAATTTATATTCATACTCAAAACAGTGATATACAATCAATAAATTCGCGAATCAAATTTATCAAAATCAGTATAAAACATTAGTGAAAATAGCCTTTGGGAGCTCCATAATTGGCCAGATTACTCATATATATATATTTGATTTTTTGATCTAGATGGATTTTACCATTTTATCGATTATGCCGGACATCGAAAAAAGTGGAGATCGAAGACCTGCTCAAGTGTTCGGCCGAAGACGAGGCCGATATAGTGGTCGCGGAGTTGGAAAAGTTTGTTTTACCATAATTTTAGTTACCATAAGATTGTTGTGAAACATTAATTATAACACATGTAACTGTTTTATCACAAAAACCATGTAGAAACTGGAATTCGCAGCTAAACCGAGATGAACCAAACTTTTACACAGCATTCCGGCAAACATTTGCACGTTTTGAGTATTATGGTAACTAAAATAAATAAAATCTTCACTCTGTTTGTTTTGAAATAAATTTTTTCATAAACTAAATTTTAAATTAAATTAAAACATATGTTAAACTTCCTAACACACTATGCTTCAGTACAACCAATACTGTTGGGAATTATTGTCAGACATTTCTCGGCCACTAATAGTGACGAGAATTTCATGCCAATTAGTATAGCGGCCTGTGCTATATGCCTGTCCATACTGTCCATCATCAATACACAACACCCGGCCTATACCGCCAGCAATAGGCTCTCTATGCGGGCCAAAGTGGCCTGGAATACAATTATATACAAAAAGGTAAGTTTTTGTCGCTTGAAAAACGCATTGAATTTATTAATTGTCAATATTTTTCATTTTTAACAGTGTCTGAAACTGAGCCGATCATCGCTGGCCGACACAAACGTCGGACACATCATTAATCTAACCACTAATGACACCAAACGTTTCGATGAAGTGATTATAATTAGCTGATCCCTAGTGATACTTATGTTTAATTACATTAATACCCATTTAGTTTGCAATTGTGGGCAGTTATCTGCTGGTCGTACCGATTCAGACCATTATTTTCATGTACATCGGGTGGCAATACTTGGGCGCCGCGTGTTTGGCCACATTCGCCGGTCTTTGTCTATTCATACCATTGGTCTCTTGGATTGGCACCAAAATCACAGAAATTAGGTATTAATTGAGTTCACAATAAGTGGTCATAATTGCATTGATTGCTCGCCTCAATCAGATCCAAGACAAGCAAACTAACGGGTCATCGCATATGTCTGACAAACGACATCATCCGCGGTATACGTGTCATCAAAATGTATGGTTGGGAACAGTATTTCCAGCGCCTGATACACGACGCGCGCCGGTATGTGTCAATCGCCGCGTAGATTAAAACACATAAATAATTAATTTGTCACATAATTATCAATAGACAAGAAGTGAAACAAATTCAAAAGTCATCGACTCTACTGTCGCTAACACTGTCCGTGTCGTTCATATCGGCCCGACTGTTGCTATTCCTGTCGATCATCGCATTTGTGGTGACCGGCGGCCGATTGACAGCCGAGACAGTGTTCGTGACGATCGCTATGTTTGAACGGCTCCGCTACTCAATGACATGGATGTTACCGCAGGCCGTGTCCGGTGCGGCCGAAGTGGTGGCCGCCTGTAAACGGTTGCAACAGTTTTTGCTTTTGCCCGAAATGAAACCTATTGTACGTCAAAGTGGTGCCAAACCTGAAGCCACAGGTGTCGTGATCGCCGGCCTCTCCTCAAGCGTGCCTTCATGGCCGCCTGTAAACGGTTGCAACAGTTTTTGCTTTTGCCCGAAATGAAACCTATTGTACGTCAAAGTGGTGCCAAACCTGAAGCCACAGGTGTCGTGATCGCCGGCCTCTCCTCAAGCGTGCCTTCAATTGATCCCAAATACAAGAATAAGTCTAAATATCTTCTCAAAGATATCAACTGTGATGTAAAACGGGGCGAATTGATGGCCATTGTGGGGCCGGTGGGCGCCGGGAAGGTATGTACAGCTAATTGTTTAATAACAATATGACAATAGATTTAGTTTTTAATGACATTTTTGTGGTCAGAGCTCAATATTTGCGGCAATTCTGGGAGAGTTGGATGACATGACTGCCGGTAGTGTCGGAGTGAACGGCTCCGTCGCATACGTGAGCCAAAAGTCGTTTTGCTTTAACGGCACGATTCGCGACAATATTCTGTTCGGTCGACCCTTTGATCACAAACTATACCATAAAATACTCTTTATGTGCGCTCTGGAGGAAGATCTCAAGAATCTGAGCGCCGGTGATATGACAGTTGTCGGCGACAGGGGCTCGACGCTGAGCGGTGGCCAGAGGGCCAGGATTAATTTGGCCAGGTAGAGTCAACTAGTTCGTTATTAATTAGTACAAATTAGCTAGTTAATAAAATAGCTAAAATAAACTAACTTGTTCATTTAAATGTGATTACACTTTGCAGAGCACTTTACTTGAACGCCGATATCTATCTCTTGGACGACCCGTTGAGCGCCGTCGACGCCTCTGTAGCCAAACATATATTTGAAAAGTTTGTTTTAAATCCATGTTTTAATATCTGTTTATTATTAATTAATGTTAATCTATGGGATCAGTTGTGTGTTGGACTTCTTGCGCGACAAATGCGTGCTTTTGGTGACAAATCAGATGCAGTTTCTGAAGAGGAGCACAAAAATACTATACCTAATGAGCGGCCGGTGTCTGGCGTTTGGCGCCTACAATGATCTGCTCAATAGTGGCATTGATTTCATGGCAATACTTAAAGAGCCCAACACTGAGAACAATACCGACGCCGAAGACACCGATTCCAGTGACAACAGTGTCAAAGTGATGGACAAGAAAAGACAATCAAACAATAAAAACAGCGCTAAACTTATGGTAAAAGGGTTTAACATCGATGATGATAATGAAAATACCGGTGCGATTGGTCTGCGAGTATATTTTGATTACTTTACCGCCGATTCCGGCTGTACTCTCATCGGATTCGCGTTGCTGTCAACACTAGTCACGCAATTCCTGTTCCATATGACCGACTATTGGCTTACATTTTGGTAAATCATATTTGTTTTAAATGTTATATTCTTTACAGAATATTCTTGAGTCTAAATTCTTGCCTAAAGTTTTGTATTGATTTGTTTTTGTTTGTGTTTGCGATGAAAGGGATGACAATAAGAGTGAATCCGTGACCACCACTTCGGACACGAACCGCAAGAATATCATGATATACTCACTCATGAGTTGTGGTCTATTTGTTTTCGCCACATTGCGATCGATGACATTCTTCCACATGTGTTTGCGTTCATCGCATTTCTGTCACAATCAGATCTTTGACAGACTTTTGCGCACATCGATGGCTGTCTTTGATTACATGCCTATCGGTTAGTGGTTTGCAAATCATAAACATTTCACTTAATATTTATTTTTGTTTTTATTTCACTTTTCTATCAAACAATATTTGAATTTCTGTTTGATTTCCATATGAAAGCAAAAACAAAATTATCATAACATAATTGACATACTGTATAATAAAACTAATTACCATGTTTATTGTAAAACTTATTTGTATCTAGGTCAAATACTCAATCGATTCACACGTGATATAGGGATACTCGACGAGACTCTTCCACAGAAACTCTTTGATCTAAATTTGGTAAATATGTTGTGATTATAAATATTGTATATTATTATATGTCTTGTCGTTAACCCCAATGGGAATACATTATATTTTTATAAGTTTTTTTCCTATCAATTATAACTCAATCATAATCTAAGACTTAATTTAAATATTTATATTTACCTTAAAGTAAAATATATACAATTTTTCCGACTTAATTAGTGAAAAATTATTTACATTTTTATTATGCAACCAAAAAAATCTTATAAAATACTAGTAAACATTACTTTCGCTAATATGTAAAGTGGTGTTGACGTAAAGCCTAATTAATAAAACATAAATTTTTTCCATTGCAACCAATTTCTGTGCACATCCCACACATGTCCGTACGGTCTGCCTGTGTATCAATCAATTGCCCACCTGTGCCGACACAACCATCCAGGCTCTGATCCAATTGATCGGTCTGTTAACGGTTGTCATAACTGCCAACCACTACTTCATACTCCCGGTACTGGTGTTCGCGACCGTCCTATACATCGTGCGTCGGCTGTACGTCAAGCCGTCGCAAGCGATGCGCAAATTTGAAGCCATGAGTAAATTAATTGCACTAAAATTTTATGAACAATACTTTCTAATAACTTAAACCTATGTTTACCATGTATTCAATAACATAGCCCGTAGTCCGCTATACTCGCACATTAGCACCACGATGGAGGGTCTGACCACAATCCGGGCGTTTGGCGTACAAGAGCTGTTCCGGCGTCAGTACAGCGCCTACCAGAACGACCACACGAGCACGTGGTGGCTACAGGTGTCCACCGCCCGCTTCTTCGGCGTGTGTCTCGATTACATCGGTTTCGTATTCATCACAATCGTTATCTCGTTGTTACTCGTCTTCAGATCAGGTGCGCTGATCCACGCAATCAATTGTTATGACATTTTGAAACTAATGATTATAATGACTGATCAGATGTGTCGGACACTAGCGCCGGACTGGTCTTCTCGTCCATATTGGCGATGATATCCATCGCTCAGTGGGCTATCAAACGGACAGTGGATGTGGAGATATGGATGACATCGTTGTTACGGTTGAAACAGTATTTGCATTTACCGGAAGAGCGGATGGAAATGGAGGACAGCGAGGATGGCGTGGAGAAGAGAAAACGCTTTCAGATACCCGCCGAGTGGCCAAAGAGTGGTCAGATTACTGTTCGCAATCTGCGGATGACGTACCCGAACAACAGCGGCGAACTGATCCTCAAGAATATCAGCCTTAAGATACTGAACGGCCAGAAGATTGGTATCGTTGGCCGCACCGGCAGTGGTAAGACATCGCTGATCAACGCCCTGTTCCGACTCATGCCATCCGATGGCAATATCACTGTCGACGGCATTAACATCAATAATATAGGTCTGAAAGATCTGCGGAAGAACATCTCGATTATACCGCAGGAGCCGACGGTCTTCAACGGTTCCATTCGCGCCAATTTGGATCCGTTTGAAGAGTTCACGGATGAGGAGGTGTGGCGGGCGTTGGACGCGGTGCAGCTCAAGACACTGGTCCAGTCGCTGCCCGAACGGCTCCGGGCGGTCATATCGGAAGAGGCGCTGACACTGAGTGTGGGTCAGAAGCAGCTGATCTGTCTCTCCAGAGCTATACTCCGGAAGAATCGCATATTGATCTTAGACGAGGCCACCGCTAATGTCGACCACAAGACCGATGCGCTCATACAGACGGCCATTAAGACCAAGTTTAGCGACTGCACTGTGATTACGGTCGCCCATCGCATCGAGACCATCATCGACTGCGATCGCATTCTGGTATTACATCCATTGTCTTATTTGTTTACCACGTTTTTTATTACACATGCCATTAATTTCTGTCGTTTTAATTGTTTGTTTGTCTCATATCAGGTGATGAAGGAGGGGATGATTGTGGACGACAACTGCCCTCACCTTCTTCTGGAACAGGAGAACAGCTATTTCTCGCAATTAGTCAAACAAACGGGTCGTCTGATGGCCAGTCGACTGCAAGAGTCGGCACAACAAAGTTTCCACAACAAGAAACAAGTGTTGAACAGAAACACAGCCATCGATACCGTCTTAAGGCAGAGGAATATCTGAAGACTTTGTTTCTCCGAAATCATTGTTTTTCATCGCTTATGAAATTAAATTATTTTTAGGCATTTATTTCCAAATGAATTGCTATTTATTTTTCAATAGGTTTTTATAGCACTTGTTTTTATTGTGTGTTTTTCAGTTTGAATGTTGTGTTTATTTTTTTCAATCATTTTCATAAGTGTTTACAGAATTGTTATGAAATATTAATTATATTTGTTTTTTATATTGAAATCCAGTTCTACTCAGAAAAATCTCAGCGAAATAAACACTACAGAAATGTTTTCATCGATTTTTTAAATGTAAAAATAACTCATTTTACGACTGTTTTTATGACAATATTTTTTAGCATTTGTTGATTTAATTAGCATTACATTCACTGTCTGTGAATATGTGATGCAAATGTTGTATTGACATTGATTTTATGGTAAACTAGTCTTATATATTCGCAAAAATCACCTCAATTTATATATTTAACATAAATTAATTCAAATATTGTAACATGTGATTTATGTTAACACATGTAGTAAATCATGTAAATGAATGTAATTGAATTAAAAATAATAAAATATATGATTACTTATGTTATATTTTTTGTTAATTAATAATAAAATCTATAATAAAATAATATTTATTTAATACTATTTTATATACAACTCAAGGTATTAATTAACTATTTAATGCATGATAAGATACAGTGTAGTTGACATTCAGTTAATAACTATGGGTGAATTTGCTATAAAACATACATGTAATTCTACTTATTGCATAAGCTAGTATATGAACACATTTATTTGACCAGGCACAAATAGTACAGTGCATTTGCTAGTCATGTTAACAATTACATGTATCCATAGTATAATGTTTTTACAATTTTAATCCAATTCCATTTTAATTTTAACATTTTAATCCAACTGATTAGATTTCCATTCAGTTTTCATCGGATTATTAAAAATTTTCCACAAATATTACCCTATTTTTATGTATCGTAACAGTTATCACAAAGAATTACCTTATATCAAATTGGAACATTGTACAAATAAAATGTTACTTGCAAAATTGTCCCTGATACCTTGATAATCACAATATAAATGTCCTTATAATGAACAATTGTATTTCATGCTAAAACAATGGAAACTTTCCCTAATATTTTCCACACAATAGTCACGTAAATTATGTTTTGAATGGACTATTGAAAAGTTATCAACTTTAAGTGTAGATTAAATTACAAGGTATTCAATTAGATTAATTATTATTATTTCTAATCGTTAACTTTCTATCTAGTATTATTTCATATTTACTTTACCTTTAATCTCTCTCTCTCTCTCTCTCTCTCTCTCGCATTAGATAAGAATTACAACTTATAAATACAAAAAAATAAATCATAACTAAAAAATCTAAGCCAATATATAGTTATTGTAAGTATAAGGAAGTTAATACATGAAAACAATTTATAACACAATATTGTAAATCATAATTACATTTAAAACATTAAACATGTTTATAAAAGTATTATTGTTGGTGATACTAGTGTGTCATTCAACTGTGCTCGTTTGGTGTAAGTAATTATAGTAATATTTTAATAATTCATAATTATTATAAAATATAAATTAAATGTTAATATATTATTGAAAAGGCAATCGAGAAATACTGAAAAACAATTCTGTCATACATTTCAAGTTTTTCGACAACAGTCTTACGCTTTATAGCGAAGACATCACTTCCGGACACATCTCATACAAAGTGTCGGCAATTGATTTGAAACAAAACAAAGTCACTGATCATAACGTGAAGATATTTGTGTTGAATGATAAAGAAAACCAGTTTATACCGCAGGCACCGACCGGTCGGCTATACAACCATGGTGAATTTGTTTTGTTTAGCATCGATGTGGCTAATGTTGCGGCAACAGTAAGTGTTTGAATTAGTTTTGTCAATGTGAACATTGTTTAAAACTTATTTAATTAATTGTGAATCAAGTCATACTTAATTGAGTATTACGGGGCGTCCGGTGCCCGGGAACTGTTGGCCACGAGCCATATCGTGCCCTTTCAAAAGACAGCCACCGATGGTCTGACCACCAGTCCTGTCGTTGATAGTAAAGGCAATATTATTGGCAGTATTAATGGTCTGTTAATTCAATTACAAAAAACTACTTAACAATATAGCGATTAAATGCAATAACATTTTGTTTATTAATTGTTTAGTTAATTATTTGGTTATTCGGCCGATCAGTGGCTTCGATGCCGACGTGAATCACACCATTGATATCAAGTCGGGCGCAATGATGGGTCACAGGGGGACGGGTGTGGGCAGGCGTACGGATCTGTGAGTGCACATGCTATGACTGCTTGCTTTATATTTATTGTTAATTATTATTACTGTATAATTAATTAATTATTTGATAGATAGGAGAATATTCTGGAAAACACAATTGAGGCGTTTAATTATGCCTGTCGTCACGTAAGTGTCACATCATTTAATATACTTTAACTATGATCTAGAGTACAGGGTTACAGTAATTACCAGTATCAGTACTGAATCCAAAATTAGATGATCATGATTATTAATTTAGTGGATTAAGTTATAATATTAGATCAAATAGGTGATATTATGTAGATACAAATCTGCTAACACAATTTGTTTTTGCTTTAGTGGTGTTAAATGATTTAAGCAATAATTTTATCTAATGAGAGACTTAGATTAACTTAACAATTATGTTACTGATTACTTATTTGCGATTAATATTATCAGGGTTGAAAATTCTACTAGCTTATCAAGAGAATATTTTACTGTTTACAGTAATGTTATGTTAGTTACTATTTTGTATAAACAGAATGATTTTACTTTATTTTTAAAATTAATTTTTGTGATCTTGGTTTAAACAATAGGGGGCCGATATGATTGAGCTGGATATACAATTATCAAGCGATAAAATACCAATAATTCATCACAACTTTGATACACAACTCTACGTCAGAGAAGTATTAAGACGATAATTTTAAATAACACTAAAAACATAAAAAATTGCAATTAATTAACCATATATTATAATTTTGCTGTCAGAATATAGGCACTGATTTAGCAAAACAAAATACCGCGATTAAAGATCTAGCATATTCACAAATGAAAAAGGTAAGTTAGCATAATTCTATACATATTTAATTATAATGACTGATAAATACGCTTATTATATTAATAATCAATTAATAATAGTTAAATAAATTATAAGCTATATATTTGTTGCATTTTATTCTGTTATCCATAGATAAGTACTGTTGAGAGTAAAAACTTTGATTATGAGGACAATCAGCCGTTTGAGACACTGAAGGATGTCTTGGAGAAAATGGATGCGAACTGTGGTATCAATTTTGAGATCAAATATCCGCAGACATATAGTGTATGAATATTTAATTATTATATTTAATTTATTGATTATATTATTCAAAATTTATGTGCAAACATTAGATTGCAATTAATTTCACTAAAAATATAATTTTAATGTTGCTTTGAAATTATTTATATACAAATGTGTTATGCTAAATAATATATTAAATAATAATGTTGATAAATATTTAAATTTAAATGCAAATGAAATGCAAATCAATATTCAAATTCATTGCATCGGAAAATACTTTTAAAAACATTTTAATTTCAAAAATATTTGTTACATTTTTTACGCAAACCTCAAAGAAATGCAACATTAAAAGTATGCAAATATTATTTACATTTAGTCTTCATTATTGAATTCAGCAAAATATTCCATATTCTTTGTAATATAGTATTTATTTAATTAAATTCATTACATATTTATATAACGTAATTGACATTAATTTTTATTTTTATTTCACTTTCGGATGCTTTGATTGAAAATACATTTGCGATCACATGAAAGGACGGTCACTGGGAGGCAGAGAAGCCGTTGGAATTGAATGAATACATAGATATCATTGTGAAGGCATTGTATGATAATATCGGCAACAGATCCGGAATCATAACATCATTTCACGTCGACTTGTGCTCAATGTATGCATAATCTGTTCAACAATATTAATGAACACATATTTTGTTTTATTTTAAACAATTTAATGAATGAATTGTATATTTTACATGTATTTACTCAATACTATTGAGTGAATACAATACTATGCAAACTATTCAAACAATTCGCTAATTTAATTATAAAAATAAATATTATTAACATTTGATTTTTAGGATACAATTAAAACAAAACAAACTAAGAGTAGCGCTCCTGACGTCAGGCGATGTGAAGCACTGGGACCCGAAAGCTAAGCCCCTATACGACCCGCGCGGCACTACTATTCCGTTGGGCGCGTACTTCGCTGAGGGTATGGGTTTGGACGGTATGTCTATTCTGGCTAAGGATCTGTTGGCCGACAAAACACTTATACCGTTTGTAAAGTCACGCAAACAACACGTATACGTCTGGGGCGACCAAATCAATAATCGACAGGTCATCGACCAGTTGGTCAATAACGGCGCCGACGGACTTATAATGAACAAGTAATTTGCATTAATTGTTTTGCTATTCATTTATTGTTTTGATTTGTTTACAGAATTGACAAATTATTACCGCAAACCACTTCCACTCCATTAAATGATAATTATTATTAATATAATGATCATAATAAATAATTATATTTAGATTTTACCTGTCAACAAAAGTGAAAATAAAATATACAGTATATGTATTTAATATAAAGTTATTTATTTGGAATAAAAATCAATAATTAATATTTCAAAGCCATTACAATTAATAAAACTAAAATTTAAAAAACAGATATAAAAACATTAAAATCATTATATTTATGTTGAATTTATCATTTTCATGTATCTTAATTAACTGTATATGTAAATTAAATAAAGTTTTAATAATATGTAGTTGTCAATCTAGTATGGTAAATTGTTATTTAATTCAATTAGCTTTAGTTAATAAATTAAGTAAAAATGAATACTTTCTCTAATATTTTAAACACATTATTTATAAATATTTTGTTGTGAATTGACTTTTAAAAAGTTCTCATCACTTCAGTGGAGATTAAATTACAAAGAAATTGATTATTTGAATTATAAACTATCAGTATGTAGGCAACTTTATATTAAATGTAATTTTATATTTAATTTACCTCTCTCTCTCTCTCTCTCTCTCTCAGATAAAAATAAGAATTATAACTTATAAATACAATACTAACAATAAATTAAAATTATAAAATTTTAGTTATTAGTTAAAAAATAGTTATTTTAAGGATAAGGAAATTTATATCAATACATGAAACTATTTACGACATACCATATTGTAAATCATAATTACATTTAAAATAGTAAATATGATTATAAAAATATTAGTGTTGGTGATATTGGCATATCATTCAGTTGTGAACGTGGAGTGTAAGTAATTAATTTAATACTGTAGTATTTATAACCATGATAAAAGTTTTGCATAAATACTTTAATCCTTTTAAAAAGGTAAGAGAGGAATACTTCGAGACAATTCTGTCATTCATTTCAAGTTTTTCGACAACAGTCTTACGCTTTATAGCGAAGACATCACTTCGAGACACATCTCATACAAAGTGTCGGCAATTGATTTGCACCGAAACAAAGTCACTGACCATAACGTGAAGATATTTGTGTTGAATGACAAAGAAAACCAGTTTATACCGCAGGCCCCGACCGGCCGGGTATATAACCATAGTGAATTTGTTTTGTTTAGCATCCAGGTGGCCAATGTTGAGGCAACAGTAAGTGCTTGAATAGTTGTCTCGAGTTTCATTAATGTGAAAATTGTTAAAAATTTTATTTTATATAATTAATTGTGAATCAAGTCATATCTAATTGAATATTACGAAACGTCCGGTGCCCGGGAACTGTTGGCCACGAGCCATATCGTGCCCTTTCAAAACACAACCACCGATGGTCTGCTGACCACTCCTGTCGTCGATAGTAAGGGCACTCTGATTGGCAGTACTAATGGTCTGTTTAGTTACCTACAAATTTTTTTTACAATATAGCCGTTTATAAAAACAACATTTGGTTTATTAATTGTTTAGTTAATTATTTGGTTATTCGGCCGATCAGTGGCTTCGATGCCGACGCGGATCAGACCATTAATATCAAGTCGGGCGCAATGATGGGTCACAGGGGGACGGGTGTGGGCAGGCGTACGGACCTGTGAGTGCACATGCTATGAGTGTTTTGCTTTAATTTTATTATTAATTTTTATATTAATTAATTAATGATTTGATAGAAAGGAGAATATTCTGGAGAACACTATCGCGGCGTTCAATTATGCCTGTCGTCACGTAAGTGTCACACTATTTAACTGATCTTAATTATTACCTACAGGTGGAATACAGTGATATAGTAATTGCCTGTATTATTATACTATCCTACTAATCATGGTTTAATAAATAGGGAGCCGATATGATTGAATTGGATATTCATTTATCACGTGATAAAATACCAATAATTTATCACGATTATGAGACGCAACTTTATGTCCGAGAAGTATTAAAATACTTGTTTTAATAACATTAAAAACATTAAGGTTACAAGTAATTGACGATATATTACCTCATCTTACTATTAGAATAAAGGCAATAATTTAGTAATACAAAACACCGCGATCAAAGATTTATCGTATACACAAATGCAAAAGGTAAAATATATAATTAAATAATTCTGTACATGCTTAATGTTGGCTACTAGTAATAAATAGGCTTAATGTTTGCTAATTAATCGGCATTTTTAATGTAATTTATTATGTTATCCATAGATAAGTACTGTTGACGATGGAATAGCAGTTAGTGCCAACCTCCTTTTCTAACCAAAATCCGATTTTACGGGAGTGTTGGGCATAAGAAATAATGTAAGTTACATTGTTTGGGCATATAGGGGCTTTGGGAGGCGTAAATGTACGATGGAATAGCAGTTAGTGCCAACCTCCTTTTCTAACCAAAATCCGATTTTACGGGAGTGTTGGGCATAAGAAATAATGTAAGTTACATTGTTTGGGCATATAGGGGCTTTGGGAGGCGTAAATGGGGTTACAATATTGAACACCACACATAACTTTGAGATTAAGCATTCAGTTTACATATCACTACCTTGGTGTAATGGTCAATAGACTGGCCTGTAACCCGGAAAGCTGATTTTATTATTAATTAACAAAAAATATAACATAAGTAATCATATATTTTATTATTTTTAATTCAATTACATTCATTTACATGATTTACTACATGTGTTAACATAAATCACATGTTATAATATTTGAATTAATTTGTTAAATATAAAAATTGAGGTGATTTTTGCGAATATATAAGACTAGTTTACCATAAAATCAATGTCAATACAATATTTGCATCACATATTCACAGGCAGTGAATGTAATGCTAATTAAATCAACAAATGCTAAAATATATTGTCATAAAAACAGTCGTAAAATGAGTTATTTTTACATTTAAAAAATCGATGAAAACATTTCTGTAGTGTTTATTTCGCTGAGATTTTTCTAAGTAAAACTGAATTTCAATATAAAAAACAAATATAATTAAAATTTCATAACAATTCTGTAAACACTTATGAAAATGATTGAAAAAAATAAACACAACATTCAAACTGCAAAAACACACTGAAAACAAGTGCTATAAAAACCTATTGAAAAATAAATAGCAATTCATTTGGAAATAAATGCCTAAAAATAATTTAATTTTAATCTAAGTCTTCAGATATTCCTCTGCCTTAAGACGGTATCGATGGCTGTGTTTCTGTTCAACACTTGTTTCTTGTTTTGAAAACTTTGTTGAGCCGACTCTTGCAGTCGACTGGCCATCAGACGACCCGTTTGTTTGACTAATTGCGAGAAATAGCTGTTCTCCTGTTCCAGAAGAAGGTGAGGGCTGTTGTCGTCCACAATCATCCCCTCCTTCATCACCTGATATGAGACAAACAAAACAATTAAAACAACAAAAACTAAAACAATACAACAATTTAATGGCATGTGTAATAAAAAACAATAGCTTAAGACATGAAAACGTGGTAAACAAATAAGACAATGGATGTGATACCAGAATGCGATCGCAGTCGATGATGGTCTCAATACGATGGGCGACCGTAATCACCGTACAGTCGCTAAACTTGGTCTTAATGGCCGTCTGTATGAGCGCATCGGTCTTGTGGTCGACATTAGCGGTGGCCTCGTCTAAGATCAATATGCGATTCTTCCGGAGTATGGCTCTGGAGAGACAGATCAGCTGCTTCTGACCCACACTCAGTGTCAGCGCCTCTTCCGATATGACCGCCCGGAGCCGTTCGGGCAGCGACTGGACCAGTGTCTTGAGCTGCACCGCGTCCAACGCCCGCCACACCTCTTCGTCCGTGAACTCTTCGAACGGATCCAAATTGGCGCGAATGGAACCGTTGAAGACCGTCGGCTCCTGCGGTATAATCGAGATATTCTTTCGCAGATCTTTCAGACCTATATTATTGATGTTAATGCCATCGATAGTAATATTGCCATCGGATGGCATGAGTCGGAACAGGGCGTTGATCAGCGATGTCTTCCCACTGCCGGTGCGGCCAACGATACCAATCTTCTGGCCGTTCAGTATCTTAAGGCTGATATTCTTGAGGATCAGTTCGCCGCTGTTGTTCGGGTACGTCATCCGCAGATTGCGGACAGTTATCTGACCACTCTTTGGCCACTCGGCGGGTATCTGAAAGCGTTTCCTCTTCTCCACGCCATCCTCTTTGTCCTCCATTTCCATCCGCTCTTCCGGTAAATGCAAGTACTGTTTCAACCGTAACAACGATGTCATCCATATCTCCACATCCACTGTCCGTTTGATAGCCCACTGAGCGATAGATATCATCGCCAGAATGGACGAGAAGACCAGTCCGGCGCTGGTGTCCGACACATCTGATAGTCATTATAATCATTAGTTTCAAAATGTCATAACAATTGATTGCTTGGGATCAGCGCACCTGATCTGAAGACGAGTAGCAACGAGATAACGATTGTGATGAATACGAAACCGATGTAATCGAGACACACGCCGAAGAAGCGGGCGGTGGACACCTGTAGCCACCACGTGCTCGTGTGGTCGTTCTGGTAGGCGCTGTACTGACGCCGGAACAGCTCCTGTACGCCAAACGCCCGGATTGTGGTCAGACCCTCCATCGTGGTGCTAATGTGCGAGTATAGCGGACTACGGGCTATGTTATTGAATACATGGTAAACATAGGTTTAAGTTATTAGAAATTATTGTTCATAAAATTTAAATGCAAGTAATTTACTCATGGCTTCAAATTTGCGCATCGCTTGCGACGGCTTGACGTACAGCCGACGCACGATGTATAGGACGGTCGCGAACACCAGTACCGGGAGTATGAAGTAGTGGTTAGCAGTTATGACAACCGTTAACAGACCGATCAATTGGATCAGTGCCTGGATGGTTGTGTCGGCACAGGTGGGCAATGAGTGATACACAGGCAGACCGTACGGACATGTGTGGGATGTGCACACAAATTGATTGCAATAGAAAATACATGTTTTATTAATTAGGGTTTACGTCAACACCACTTTACATATTAGCGAAAGTGATGTTTACTAGTATTTTATAAGATTTTTTTGGTTGTGTAATAAAAATGTAAATAATTTTTCACTAATTAAGTCTGAAATTTTGTATATATTTTACTTTAAGGTAAATATAAATATTTAAATTAAGTCTTAGATTATGATTGAGTTATAATTGATAGGAAAAAATATAATGTATTCCCAATTGGGTTAACGAAAAGACATATAATAATCACAAAATATTTACCAAATTTAGATCAAAGAGTTTCTGTGGAAGAGTCTCGTCGAGTATCCCTATATCACGAGTGAATCGATTGAGTATTTGACCTAGATACAAATAAGTTTTACAATAAACATGGTAATTAGTTTTATTATACAGTATGTCAATTATGTTATGATAATTTTGTTTTTGCTTTCATATGGAAATCAAACAGCGATTCAAATATTGTTTGATAAAAAAGTGAAATAAAAACAAAAATAAATATTAAGTGAAATGTTTATGATTTGCAAACCACTAACCGATAGGCATGTAATCAAAGACAGCCATCGATGTGCGCAAAAGTCTGTCAAAGATCTGATTGTGACAGAAATGCGATGAACGCAAACACATGTGGAAGAATGTCATCGATCGCAATGTGGCGAAAACAAATAGACCACAACTCATGAGTGAGTATATCATGATATTCTTGCGGTTCGTGTCCGAAGTGGTGGTCACGGATTCACTCTTATTGTCATCCCTTTCATCGCAAACACAAACAAAAACAAATCAATACAAAACTTTAGGCAAGAATTTAGACTCAAGAATATTCTGTAAAGAATATAACATTTAAAACAAATATGATTTACCAAAATGTAAGCCAATAGTCGGTCATATGGAACAGGAATTGCGTGACTAGTGTTGACAGCAACGCGAATCCGATGAGAGTACAGCCGGAATCGGCGGTAAAGTAATCAAAATATACTCGCAGACCAATCGCACCGGTATTTTCATTATCATCATCGANTATTGCCATGAAATCGATGCCACTATTGAGCAGATCATTGTAGGCGCCAAACGCCAGACACCGGCCGCTCATTAGGTATAGTATTTTTGTGCTCCTCTTCAGAAACTGCATCTGATTTGTCACCAAAAGCACGCATTTGTCGCGCAAGAAGTCCAACACACAACTGATCCCATAGATTAACATTAATTACTAATCAATAGATATTAAAACATGGATTTAAAACAAACTTTTCAAATATATGTTTGGCTACAGAGGCGTCGACGGCGCTCAACGGGTCGTCCAATAGATAGATATCGGCGTTCAGGTAAAGTGCTCTGCAAAGTGTAGTCCAGATTTAAATGAATAAGTTAGTTTATTTTTAGCTATTTTATTAACTAGCTAATTTAACTAATTAACAATGAACTTGTTGACTCTACCTGGCCAAATTGATCCTGGCCCTCTGGCCACCGCTCAGCGTCGAGCCCCTGTCGCCGACAACTGTCATATCACCGGCGCTCAGATTCTTGAGATCTTCCTCCAGAGCGCACATAAACAGTATTTTATGGTATAGTTTGTGATCAAAGGGTCGACCGAACAGAATATTGTCGCGAATCGTGCCGTTAAAGCAAAACGACTTTTGGCTCACGTATGCGACGGAGCCGTTCACTCCGACACTACCGGTAGTCATGTCATCCAACTCTCCCAGAATTGCCGCAAATATTGAGCTCTGACCACAAAAAATGTCGTTAAAAACAAAATCTATTGTAAGATTGTTGCTAATCAATTAGCTGGACATACCTTCCCGGCGCCCACCGGCCCCACAATGGCCATCAATTCGCCCCGTTTTACATCACAGTTGATATCTTTGAGCAGATATTTAGACTTATTCTTGTATTTGGGATCAATTGAAGGCACGCTTGAGGAGAGGCCGGCGATCACGACACCTGTGGCTTCAGGTTTGGCACCACTTTGACGTACAATAGGTTTCATTTCGGGCAAAAGCAAAAACTGTTGCAACCGTTTACAGGCGGCCCTCACTTCGGCCGCACCGGACACGGCCTGCGGTAACATCCATGTCATTGAGTACCGGAGCCGCTCGAACATAGCGATCGTCACAAACACTGTCTCGGCTGTCAATCGGCCGCCGGTCACCACAAATGCGATGATCGACAGGAATAACAAGAGTCGGGCCGATATGAACGACACGGACAGCGTTAGCGACAGTAGTGTCGATGACTTTTGGATTTGTTTCACTTCTTGTCTATTGATAATTATGTGACAAATTAATTATCATGTGATTTAAACTTATAGATCAATTGATTACATACCGGCGCGCGTCGTGTATCAGACGCTGGAAATACTGTTCCCAACCATACATTTTGATGACACGTATACCGCGGATGATGTCGTTTGTCAGACATATGCGATGACCCGTTAATTTGGTTGTCTTAGATCTGTTTGAGGCGAGCAATCAATGCCATTATAACCACGTATTGTAAACGTAATTAACAATTAATACCTAATTTCTGTGATTTTGGTGCCAATCCAAGAGACCAATGGTATGAATAGGCAAAGACCGGCGAATGTGGCCAAACACGCGGCGCCCAAGTATTGCCACCCGATGTACATAAAAATAATAGTCTGAATCGGTACGACCAGCAGATAACTGCCCACAATTGCAAACTAAATGGACATTAATGTAATTAAATACCAAGTATTGCTAGGAATCAGCTAATTATAATCACTTCATCGAAACGTTTGGTGTCATTAGTGGTCAGATTAATGATGTGTCCGACGTTTGTGTCGGCCAGCGATGATCGGCTCAGTTTCAGACACTGTTAAAAGTGAAAAATATTGACAATAATTGTAATTAATACTAATTATTAATAAATTCAATGTGTTTTTCATGCGACAAAAACTTACCTTTTTGTATATAATTGTATTCCAGGCCACTTTGGCTTTCATAGAAAGCCTATTGCTAGCGGTATAGGCCGGGTGCTGTGTATTGATGATGGACAGTATGGACAGGCATATAGCACAGGCCGCTATACTAATTGGCATGAAATTGGCGTCACTATTAGTGGCCGAGAAATGTCTGACAATAATTCCCAACAGTATTGGTTGTACTGTTCGTATCACACAATCCTTCAAATTGTATACAAAATTAAATTTAACTTTAAATCAAAAACTTTAAAACAAAAGTTTTGTTTCTCTCACTTCTAAAATAAATAAAATCAATGGTATTATGAGTTTTGGTGCAAATGTTTGCCGGAATGCTGTGTAAAAGTTTGGTTCATCTCGGTTTAGCTGCAAATTCCAGTTTCTAGATGGTTTTTTTGTGATAAAACAATTACATGTGTTATAATTAATGTTTCACAACAATCTTATGGTAACTAAAATTATGGTAAAACAAACTTTTCCAACTCCGCGACCACTATATCGGCCTCGTCTTCGGTCGAACACTTGAGCAGGTCTTCGATCTCCACTTTTTTCGATGTCCGGCATAATCGATAAAATGGTAAAATCCATCTAGGTCAAAAAATTTATGTTCATTAGACTAGTAAATACCCCGAGGGTTTCCGATAAAAGTGATTACAAAATATGACTAAAACTATTTAAACTAAGCGCTTAAATAACTAACATATAGTGACAAAACTCATTGAATATAAATTATGGTATAATTAGCGACAAAAACTAGTTTTTTGAAAATAAATAAATTGAAAGCCAAGGCTAATAAAAAGTAAAAATGTAATACAAAGTAAAAACGGCATATTTTCTATGAAATTCACGTTTGAGAGCATGTATTAAATAATTTATTCACGTAATAATAATTGTCATTTACCTGCAATAGGACTGGCCAATAAAATGATCACGATCAAAGCTAGACTCCTTAGTTATACGCTCGCTTTTAAACATCACTTTTTGACACACAAACTGACCAAGTTTGTTTTTAACTAGTCGTTAACCTAGATGTATACCAAACCATACAATTAAAACTATAAAATCTATGTCAATAATTATCACTTTAATGACAGTTAAAACAATCCTTTCGTGGGATTAATACACAATCATTTAATACTAGCATTAATTAAATATAGCATTCATTTAACTGCATATGAATTGAATACCTGTTTATTAAACGATGTGTTGAAGTATACGATGTCTGCGAGACATATGTTTTTTATCATAATATCGTTTCATATCATAAATTAATTTCTCATTTAATTTATTCATT